TATATCCGGCAGCAAAACCTCTGATCGTCAGATTGGAGGTTTTCAAGAGCCTGGAACTACCTTTTAAGTGCTCTTGTTTCCAGCTCCATTCTGCTCCGGAGTGTCAGCACATATTAGGGTCCCTTATATGGCAAAATATTGAACCCCCTCCAAAAAAAAAAAAAAAAAAAATCAACAGGTCTTTTTTATAGTAAAATACTCAAGAATACATTTTTATAGCAAAATGAAAATCAGTGCAAAAATGTAAAAATATACATTTTAATTACAAACAATACGTTTTTAGGTTAAAAAAAAAAAAAAAACATTACCAACAATACATTTTTGTAGTGAAATTATCAGCAAAACATTTAAAACTAAATACAAACAATCTATTTTATTATCTGAAAACTATATATCTAAACATACCTTTCCATGAAAGTATACATTTTAGTAAAAAATATTTCGATTTCGGCACTAATATAGAGATTGATATACCCCTAAAAATAAATCCACCAACAATCCCAACAATGTAGTAGAGATTTTAGATATGTGCTTTTGTTGGTTGTATGAATTTTGTCTATTTTTCCTCGAAGGTCGTAGATATAACGATAAAATTTTCTAAAACCTTCAGTCGTCTTTTGGAATAGTAACATCCATAGCAGTGTACCTTCTGTATTTGAGCTTTAGACAGTTAGAAGGTTCGTTGGGTAAAAAGAGTCTACAGCAAGCATCGGTCAAACCACAGGCACAGCTCATTTTATTAAATATGGAAATGTTGAGCTGTGTCAATTTTGTCTATTTTTGAAAACTAGATAGAGGGACATATGCACTACGAGCATATGTCCCTCTATCTAGTTTTCAACTTACGCGACAAGACCCTTCGTACACATCACTGCTAGTGTTATGGGGTGCTTCTAGAATGTTATATTTTCATTTTGGATAACTGCTGAGTGCGAAGGTTCGGCTTTTTTTTTATGTTGGCATCAGCGATCAAATGAACATTCTTTCACCTGTTTCTGGAGTCTCGAAGATCGAGGTATTTTAATGATGGTGGAATGCATAGTTTCCGCACCTTTGAGTTGTGGATTCCTTGACCTTCAAAGAATATCAATATGGCGACTGTGGTCTCAGAAATGTGAATATGACCATTAGAATTATAGCACTACGAGCATATGTCCCTCTATCTAGTTTTCAACTTACGCGACAACACCCTTCGTACACATCTCTGCTAGTGTCATGGGGGTTTTCAAGTGGAGGATCGATTGGTACTCGGCGTTGATGAGAACATCAAAATTCCTCCACGTGAACAATCTTCGTTCAATTTCAAAAGTGTATCCACTGAAGGCACGCAGATCAAACACTATGGGTTGCCCTAAGTGATAACACTTGCCCGCCTTCGGTATACATCCTGAACGGTGTCCAACGTATTTTGCTGTCATTCCTGGAAAAGTAAGACATGTGGTGCCCCACTCGAACAGTATCCACTCCTTCCTCCACTCGTCTTTCACGCGAGAATATTAGAAGAATAATCAAGAAGACAGTAGATAATAATTGACATTGCATTTAAATTTTTGAAGATCAAAATTGGTTGCAAAGTATGAAGCCAGAAATGAGTTCTACAAACGGTTAGAGCGAGAAAATAAACTGCTAGCTTAGAACTTGCGGTTATATCTAGCGATTTCAAATGTTAATTGATGAGACCTTTCCGCCATCCTAGTACTGCGATAAAAATTCATAAAGTCTAGGAACCATAGCGAAGAGTTTTTCTGAGAAAATGCCGTGATGGTTTTCATAAAACAGCACCTGGAAGCAACTTTCCAAGGTTTGAAAATTGACCGAAGTCGAGACGCGTTGATGAGAACATCAAAATTCCTCCACGTTAATAATTCTCGTTTGAAGTCTATCCGCTGAAGGCACTCAAATCAAACACTATGGATTACCCTAAGTGATAAAACTTGCCCGACATCGGTATACATCCTGAACTGTGTCCAACGTATTTTGATGTCATTCCTGGAAAAGTAAGACATGTGGTGCCCCACTCGAACAGTATCCACTCCTTCCTCCACTCGTCTTTCACGCGAGAATATTAGAAGAGTAATCAAGAAGACAGTAGATAATAATTGACATTGCATTTAAATTTTTGAAGATCAAAATTGGTTGCAAAGTATGAAGCCAGAAATGAGTTCTACAAACGGTTAGAGCGAGAAAATAAACTGCTAGCTTAGAACTTGCGGTTATATCTAGCGATTTCAAATGTTAATTGATGAGACCTTTCCGCCATCCTAGTCTGCGATAAAAATTCTTAAAGTCTAGGAACCATAGCGAAGAGTTTTTCTGAGAAAATGCCGTGATGGTTTTCATAAAACAGCACCTGGAAGCAACTTTCCAAGGTTTGAAAATTGACCGAAGTCGAGACGCGTTGATGAGAACATCAAAATTCCTCCACGTTAATAATTCTCGTTTGAAGTCTATCCGCTGAAGGCACTCAAATCAAACACTATGGATTACCCTAAGTGATAAAACTTGCCCGACATCGGTATACATCCTGAACTGTGTCCAACGTATTTTGATGTCATTATGGCAAGAGTAAGACATGTGGTATCCCATTCGAATAGTATCCATTCCCTCCTTTACCTTATGAAGAAATACCATGAAAGTATTCATAGAAAAGCACAGGGAAACAAATTTACCATAGTTTAAAAGTTGACTGAATCCAAGACGCCAGGTCAGGACCAATAATATTGATGATTCTTCTTCGGATATTATCAGTAAATTCAAAATACAAAGCAGAAGCACTGGTCCATATGTGGCAGCAACATAAGAAGCACTGGCGAATGGTAGACTTATAGATATGTATGATTGGAAAGAAAAATGTCTCGCACGTCACAGTGAACCAACTTTCTTAGCAGCAAAAAATAAAATTAACAAATAATTCTAGTTAATCAAAAACTATATATATATATATATATATTAAAAATAAAATATTTAAAATTAAAAATAAGATATATACCAAAATATTAAAAAAATAAAATCTTCAGACACACTGGGTTGTATATTGATATTCTTCCGTTTTTTTTATTATTTAATTTAGACTAGTTTCGGCCAACATGGCCATCATCAGGAGAAAAAAAATTATGCTTGCTGGTAGCAGTGAACTACAGAAAGGAATGTCTTGATGGAGAAAATGAACTTTTGTCTGTAGATTTCATTTGTTTTTGTTTTTTTATTTTTTAACATGAATTTTGGTCAGACCTTGTGTGCTCAAACAGTTTCATTAAGTTGTTATTTAAGAGCTGGATGGATTCATGCTGCTCTGAATTCCCTTGGTCATTTTGACAGTTTTATTGGTTCCTGGAAAAGGGATGTGTCTCTATTAAGTGTGTGTGTGTGTGTGTTATTTGGTTCTTAGGGAGTCAGTGTGTATGATGGATGTAAGCGTGTATATTCCTATGAGTGTGTGTTATCATTTGGCTCATTAGGAAGTGAGTGAGTATGCTGTAAGTGGGTATATTCGTGTGGATGTGTGTATAAGTGTGAGGCCTCAACACCTCCGTAAGCATGTCTGTCTTGTGTGGGTGAGAAATGTGGGTAGGTCCTGATATGTGGGGTTATATATTAATACAATCTATATTGTTAAATTTGTCATTAAGCCCGTCTGAATAGTGCGTTTTTAAACGTTGTGTCCACTTATTTTCATGGAACTTTAAATATTTCTAATGTTGCCTGCTCTGAACTTGTCTATTCTCTCAATTATAGTGAATTTGGCATGGGTTTTAAAATCGTGTTTTTCTAGGCGGAAATGTTGTTCTACAGGTAATAATCTTACCTAACTGGATAAAACACAATTGTTCATTTGTTAGATTAAGCTCTGAACCGTTGTATCTTAGAAATGATTAAAGATATCTTACTGGAAATCTCTGAGGTTTTTGCGATACTATTGAACTTTACTTTGTGCAATAAGAATGTATAATTACTCTCCAAGCTTAACAGAATCGTGATGAAATCCATGATAAACGAAAATGACATGCTCATCATTAATTAATGAAAGCTAAGGATCGGAAGCTCATGAAGGATTGAAATAAGTTCATATATATATATATATATATATATCGAAATAAAAGTATAAAGCTTAATATTACGAGACATATTAAAAACGGGTGAAGCAACCGGTTTCGCTCCAGCTCTTCAGGTTTCAACGGGAAATTTAAAATTAACACAGAAAAATGTACAATAAAAGGAAGTTGTGAAAAAAAAAAAAAAAATTAAAAATCTGAATTTTGAATGAACTCGTCCCGAACACCTATAGTTCCGCCATATGCGAACACCTATTAAAGAACAGAGATTGTGCAGCCAAATTTAGTGTCGACTGGTTCAGTTTGAAGTCGGACGTCCGGCTGACCGGCTGATCAGTTGGTCGGTTGGTCGGTTGAACTCTCCGCCTTTGGGCGGGGAGGAACCCGAATGAGGCTACGCCGAAGGGCGGAGTCTCTTTCAGGGAGGTAAACCGTTTATACGGTTCAAAGGGCATATTTTTAGCCGAGCCCACAGGCTCGGAGATCCCACGTTAAACCGGCTTTGTGCCACATGATGCCCTCGTAGTGGGGGGAGGGTGACTAAATACTAGTGTTGACTGGTTCACCGTGTTGTCCCGGTCTCACTCCTTATTTCATCTAAACTGGAGGCACTTTACATCGGGTCCCGTAAGCCTTCTTTGTGTAAACAACGTGAGTGTTTGTTGGGACTTGTTGTCATTTGTCTCTAGTTCCTTTTTCACTTTTTTTTTTCACACCTTCCTTTTATTGTACATTTTTCTGTGTTAATTTTAAATTTCCCGTTGAAGCCCGAAGAGCGGGATCAAAACCGGTTCCTTCACCCGTTTTTAATATGTCTCGTAATATTAAGTTTTATAATTTTATTTCGATCATTAAATTTTGTACCTAAAAATATCTTTAAATATATATATATATATATATATATATATATGTGAGTGTGTGTATATATACATATATATATATATATATATATATATATAATTCTTGGATCATTTTCCAACTTATTCAAGATGATCCTTGCCCTCTCTATCATTCTAACTTTCTCTCCTGTTGTAACAAGTTGCCTCACATGTTTGCTTAATATTTAGTTTATTTATTACGTTAAAAGTCCAGAAGGATGGGATGTGATATAGGAAGATTGTGTTACGCCAGGCTTCTATTTGAGAGTAGAAGGGACTTGCTATAAAATCAGCATTTGGTATCCTCTTTAAAAAAAAAAAATTCCTGTTTTTGATTCTGTGTTTAAAAGCTTCATTTTTCTTAATTTCCTTACATTTTGATGTTTAATTCCTTTTTTGGTTTTGGTTTTTTTTTTTCTTGCTGTACATTTCAACCAATTATTCTGCTTTCATCTCTTTTCCCTTTTTATTCCCGTTCATTTCTCCTGCTCCTTTCTCATCGCGTCTTCTCGTCAACCTCTCCCCGAGCCGAACAGCATTCAACAAAAGCTACGAATCGATAGAAAATAGCGAACAGCTCGAAATTTTTACACGCTGTGTCACTGATAGAAATCTGTCAGCTGAAACGTAACATTTCCAACAAAAGTAAGACGAGGTTGCTGTGGTGTAAGAACCCCATTCTTATCTTGACTACGAAATTCTTTCTACTTTTTGCCATGGCTTTTTTTTTTGTTAATATTATCTCGTTTTTTATCTTATACACCATTACTTTTCTCCTTTTTCTTTTTTTTTTTATTTTTTCACCTGCGATTACGAATCGTATTTTCCCGTCTTTTGTTCTATTGATATTTAGAGTTGGTTTTCGACCGTTTCCTCTTTCTTGCTGAGACTCTGTGTTTTAGTGCATTCACCCGTGGCAACGTTTTGGCGTTCTTTCAATTTTGCCTTTCACTGCCATAAACTAACACGTGAGCTACGCTTTTTTATGTTACATTTGAAATGAACCATAGACAATTGTGCACGGATTATTAGTTTCATTAAAATATCTATCTATCTTTATTTAAACTATTTACACGCTGACTATTGTCTCCACCTTTGTTGATTTTATCAAAATGTTTCAGCCCCTGTACCTTTCGTATATAATTCTATGCTAGGCCCACTAAGAAGATCCTCACACCTTAATTTAAACTCTGATTTTTTCCAGCATTTGATTCTGCAATGTTTCTATCTATCTATCTATCTATCTATCTATCTATCTATCTATCTCACTGTTGACATTTATCTATTTCTCTCTATATCTATCTATCTATCTATCTATCTATCTATCTATCTATCACACTGTTCACATCTATCTATCTATCTCTTTCCATCTTTCCATATTTCCATCTCTCTCTCTCTCTCTCTCTCTCTCTCTCTATCTATCTATCTATCTCTTTCCATCTATGTATATCACTTCCGTATATGCTAGGCCTACTAAAGAAAATTCTCGTACCTTAGCATAAGCTCTGTTTTTTTTCCGGCATTTAATTCTGCAATGTTTCTCTTTCTCCAGTATTTTAACTTCAATCCCCAGGTGGTGATGAGTACCCGTTTCCTTCCTTAGTAAGACAAACATAGAAATAAATACTACATGGGAACCATTAATTAATAAATAGAGACATGACAGCAAAGACACTATGAAGTGAAGTCTCAGTGGACACAATCAAGCGTGAGAAGTAGCAGCAACTGTTCTTCACTCAGAATTGTCCCACAGGAATATAGCCTAGTGGATTGAAGCAACAATTCGTGAATTAGCTGTTATAGTAATTGCGAGTTCAAACTCTGGGCTGAGCAGTGTGCATTTCGAAACTGTGGAAAGAGGCGAGCAATACTGAACAGAATTAAATAAGAACTATCCCCACTTGAGATATCCCAAAATGAAATGTTTTAGTTTGAAATTCCTTGAATTTTACACAGTCGACAATCACCTGATGAAGACCGAGAGGCCAAAAATGGTGTAAATAATAGAAATAATGATAACCCTCCATCAAAGAAATTCAGGCATAAATTATGTATCTATAGATCTATCTCAGCATTATACTTCTTTCTTTCTTTCTTTCTTTCTTTCTTTCTTTATCAGTCTAATTCTATCTATCTATCTATCTATCTATCTATCTATCTATCTATCTCAGTTTGATTCTGTTTTTCTGTCTATCTATCTAAATCTGTTTTCATTCATCTATCTATCTATCTATCTATCTATCTATCTATCTATCTATCTCAGTCATATTCTTTGTTTGTTTCTTACTTTCTTTCTTTCTATCATATGTACATAGTTATCTATCTTATTGAGTTCATATATTAGTCCTTCATACCGTATGATTGCATAGTGTTGCCATTATCGCTGTGTAATGTGATACTGGTGGGGCGAGTTCAAATCCAGCCGAGGCAGTTGAAATTCGCTTTCGCACATATTCATATAATGGAATATGCATACACCTGTGTTCCCCCTCACTGGGATATGATTGGATGGTGTCTGTCATAAATACCGACGGACGTGTAGGTACGACAGAGTCCAGAGCCTTAGTCTGAGAGCTAAGTCTATAACGACACCCATTGGACTACGCCATTGATCTACACTTTTTACTCGCGATTACAACGCGTACCAGTCGATTACTGCTACTGTATTCTACTTGGTTATAGTAGCCAAAACCACTTAGCTACTTCGTTCAAATATATCCCTTTCCGGGACATATCACATATACACGTAGAAATGTACGAATTCATCTCTTTTTACACAGGGGTAGTGGTAGGGTAGCGTAGGTTGGGCTGGCAACCAGTTAAGACGAAGAAAATAGTTGAGCGCGCGGCTCGTCACTGTACACGTAATTACCTATTTATTACATAAAACACAGCGCCAGTAAGCGTGGTGAGTCTGCGAACATTATCTCTTGGTGGAATCGGAGTAAGCTTTGTATCTTGAATCATCGATTGGATTAAGATTTATATCTCGGAGACATGAACTGGTGTAATTATATTTCTTGGAGGAAAGCTTATCTTTCTGAGGAATTGATCTAGATAAGGTTTATTTCTTGGGTGCCGAGATTGTTGTAATTTTTACTCTTTGAGGAATCGATCGGGTAAGGTTTATCTTTTGGAGGAATCGACCCAGGTAACCTTTATCTCTTTGAGACCTCGATTGGGGTAACGTTTATCTCTCCGAGGAATGATATGGATAAGGTTTATTTCTTGGAGGTATCGATTAGTGTAATTTTTTTCTCTTTGCGGAATAGATCTGGTATGGTTTATCTTTTGGAGGTATATATTTAGTTAAGGTTTATTCCTTTGGAGGTCTTGATTGGGGTAAATTTTATCTCTTTTCGGAATTGTTGTGGGTAATGTTTATTTCTTGGTGCCAGAGATATTATCTTTTGGAGGAATCGATCTAGGTAAGCTTTATCTTTTGGAGGAATCGATCTAGGTAAGCTTTATCTTTTGGAGGAATCGAATGAGGTAAACTTTATCTCCTGAGGCCTCGATTCAGGTAAAGTTTATCTCTCTTAGGAACTGATCTGGTTGGATGAAATTTATTTCTTGGAGGCATCGATTGGTGCAATTTTATCTCTTGGAGGATTCGACAGGGTAAGGTTCATCATTTGAAGGAATCGATTGAGGTAAGCTTTATGTATTGCAGGCCTCAACTGGGTAACGTTTTTCTCTCTGAGGAATAGGATCTGCATAAGGTTTATTTCTTGGGTGCATCGATTAGTGTAATTTCTTTCTCTGTGCGGAATAGATCTGGTAAGGCTTATCTTTTGGGGGTATAGATTTAGTTAAGGTGTATATATATATATATATATATATATATATATATATATATATATATGTTATGGTCCGGTTCCTTGTACCACGGTGATAGCCAAAGGTAGAACCAATAAAGAAGAACTCGAACACAGGTATGGAATAACACAGATATATTACAAACAGGAATATATACAGAAAAGTAGAGAAGTGTTAGTAAGAACAATCAGGTTTAGTAGTAATTGCCTGAACGCGACTCTGCTTCGGACTGCCTCTGACTCGACTGACTGACTCGCTCTGACTGACTGACAGGCTCCTGACGGACCTCACTCCAGACTTCAGACTAAACTCTCAGCTTCCTCTTGAGGCGCAGTATTTATTACGTATGGAATAGTCCATTATGTTATTATGGGTAAGGTCCATAACAATATATATATATATATATATATATATATATATATATATATATATATATATATATATATTGTTATTAAATAAATATGTATTAACCCCTCCCGTTGTTGTGTTACGGTTTTTTTTTGGTGACATTGTCATGTTTTTTTGCTGTAGGCTATTTATATTCTGTTCTAATGTTACCTCTTTGGCCGGCGTACCCTGACTATCCGCGTAGGTGAAACCTAGGTAGGTTTGCCTGGCTCTTCAGGTTCGTAGTTAGTTTTGCTCTACTGGGTGTATTGAGCACATTGCTTAGTTATTTTTACTTTACTCGTGTCGGAGGTTTTGTTCTTTGGACTCTGAGCCTGGATTCTAGTTGATTGTTTTTGCCAAATTACATGTTCTTAGTTCTTTCTTTTTTTATTCCATATTTTTACTTGGGTATTGGTTTGTTCATTTACAAGCCAAGACACCAAAGGTCTTTCCGGACGAGTATAATTACTTATATTTATAAGATTATTATTATTATATAATGAAATGGATTAATTCCGACAATTATTTAATATATTTTCCGTTTATACGTTATTTTTATAAATATAGTTTATATAAATGCTCTGTCTTTTTAATTAAACAGTATTAATTCCATGATCATTTTTAAAGTGTTTGTAATTCGTCTAATAAAGGTTTTTTTTCTTATTGAATATATAGTTTAATTAAGATTTGTTGATTATCTGTAAAAAAAGAGCTCAATTTCTTAAATATTTTCTTAGGAGGTCACATATCTTTGTAGAGCATTGTGGATATATATATATATATATATATATATATATATATATATATATTAGGATATTACACCGAAAACATGTAAAAAAATCGCTACACAATTGCAGTCGTGTTTCGATGCGTATCAATGACCTGTACATTGGTAGCTAACGGCAGCCAGACATGAACTAAAGCGGATGCAAATGGCTACATAAATTATACAAATTAGACAATGCAGATTTCTAAAAGCAAAATTAGGATGGCAAGGTACTTTAACAAAATGATAAACAATTTATATGATTTGTGAATTTCCGACATATTTTTGGGTGGCTGTTAAATAAGTAGCTTCTTTAAGAAACTAGTAAATAACTTAAATATATAGAATTAATTGATAAATTAATATGCAACTATTAAATAAAGATCCTTTATATAAAATGTTAAAAACACTGACCAAGCAAGGTATAGTGTCAAAAATAGCCACCAAATACCAAAATATATTTACAAGTGATAGTACTTAGTTAAAACAGATATTTTGTTAAACATTTTTCTAGCAATGAGCATAGGTCAGAATTCCTACAATTACATTGGCCAATATCGTTCATGTTTATCTTGGAACGTGTATTATGGTCCATATTATTAAATTGGTTTAAAATATTATTATTGTGCAACTTTATAATCTTCTCAAGATTACTAATGCAGCTATAACTTACTTTTAATGTGTTTTTGTTAAATATTTTACTAAGAGGTTTACTTTTAGGAAAATGCATATTAATTAAATGGAGGGACTTATGGCACTACCTAGTACTGACTAATTGATTGAATGGGGTTGTGTACTATCTCTGCAATAGAGAATCCGACGATTAAAAAATACTATATTTAGAGTACTGTGAATTCTTTAAGACTAGATGGTATCCAAATATTATGTCCTTCACCCATCATACTTACAGAAATAATACATCACTTTCTAAATGTTTTTGGAGTTTAAAAGATGATAAGGTGAAATGGAAAATTTAAAAACTGGCAAGGACATGTAGATCTTTATATGAACCCTGTTTTCTGCGTTTATATGAAAAAATTGAAATCATCAGATTTTTTTGACAAAAATTCGTTTTTAAATCAAAGAAGTGAATTAACATCAAATTGTAAGCATATTTTACCTTTTATTTTACAATTTAGTTAGACTTTCAAATTTGATAATTCTTTTTCTTATATTTTAGTTGTGATATGTTGCACTATATATGGCTTATCTTTCTATGATTAATCTGGATTTAATATATTTTTTAAATTAATTTCAGGTTAGTACTGGTAACATCTTGTACAGGTGTATTGGTCTAGGTCAAATAAAGAGTTCAGTTCGAAATGCTCTGATCGACTAGAACTTGATGAAAGCCGGAAGGCACAATGGCTGTACGTTATAATAATAGCAACACCTATGATGAAAATAGTTCACATGTAAATAAGGAATGAATGAAACCTTCTCCACCTAGAAATTCTCGATGAAAAATAGATTATGACAGCAATAGTCCGCATGTAAATAATTCAAATAACTCTTCTAATCATATTTATATTTTAATCAACTTGTTTATAGTCCTTTCTTTTTCTCTTTAAAAATAGATCTGAATACGTTTTTAAATCGAGAAAATTGGAAAAAAAGATTTTTGCTACTTTGGTGTAATTAATTGTAATATGACTAGGCTCTTTTCAAACCGATTATTTGCATTTTTTTATATACGAACTCTTATTCTCGTCTTTGTTGTTGCTATCCTAACGTCTGAAACGTTGTGACAACAACAAACGTGAGAACAATATTCCTCTTTCAGATATATATTCTGAACTGAACCCTTTATTTAATATACAGGCGAATTCTTGCTCCATTGGCCATGTTCTTATTTTTAGTACTGCTCACCAGTTTCCACTGAGTCCAAGTACAAACTGCATTTAGTCAAGGACAGTTTTTATTTGTAACGAAATTCATGAACCAACGCTTTAATCTAAAACTTAGAGCCTACGTATCATGCTTGACTACTTCTTTGACTGCTGGTGCCCGTCATGTCTTGATTGCCACTTTTGTTGAAGAATTGCTATCATTTGTCTTTATTTCTTTATTAACGGCTCCCATATGGTATTTATTTCAATGCTAGACCAACTAAGGAGGTCCTCATAGCCCGACATATGGACAATAGTCTGAATATAAATAGGTGGTTCAGGTTGTTGGAATTTCGAACTGAACCCTTTATTTCGCTCACTGGGGTAGACTGGTCTAATTCCACGTGCCATGTTTGATGGATGTCAGTTATCAGTTATCTCCTGTTAATTTCTTAACCGGGTATTGAACTCACACTTTGGGTCCTGCCACTAGATCTAACCAACGCCTTTA